GGGGGGGGGGGGTCAGAAAGGCAGTGGCTTGCTCCGGAACACTCAAAAAAAGTAAAGATAGTAACCAGAAAGCCTTGGGGGCTAGCCCAGTGCTCCTCTGGATCATACAGGCCGCTCTGGGATTGATGCACCTTCTGCCTGGCCAGCCAAGGAGGCTGAACCAGACCCCATCTGTTTCCATGGCAACCCCTCCTAGAAAAGGGTCCCAGGGTAGAGGCAATCCCAGCGCACCAGCCAGGGGGCGCTGCCTTACCCACCTCTCTAGAAAGAATAAAAAGTCACAAACATTTTTAAGGCAGGATGTACAGTTGAATCACTTCCCAACATGAGGTGTTATCAAAAGAAGGGGAAAGTCTGTTTTTGTGAGTGAGTTCAGCCCAATTTGGAACTGCCAATGTATCTCATATATGAGCATGTATAGTGACAATATGTAAAGTGACAGGAACCTGCCCAAGTCATTTTGGGAGATTAGTGCAACCTTGAGCTCAAAATCAGAGAGAGCAGTACAGGAGAGAAGAATTACAGGCCTATTTTCCTTATGAGCATACGTGCAAAAATCTCAAATATACATTAGCTAACTCAACCTAACAGAGTATTTTAAAAATAGATCAGGGTTAAGGTTTATCAGCTTATTTCATTAACAAAGAACGGTCAATCATCTAAAAAGCCAGAGTACTCCACGTCATTAATAAGCACCATGAGATAATCTTAACAGATGCAGAAAAAGCAGGTGTGTGTTCAACATCTAGTTGTGGTTGGGTTTTTTGTTTGTTTGTTTCAGGAAACTAGTAATATGGAGAATTTGGTAAAGTTTTTGAACCTGAGAAATGCCTTTCATCAAAATGGCTGCAGCAAAATCATACTAGCAGGAGAAAATGCAAGCATTCGCTTCAAAATCAGGAACAGAGCAAAAATGTCAGCTGTCATATTGCCAACACAGTGCCAGAAGCAACTGACAAAAGAAACGAGATGGAACCACCGGAAGGAAGAAGGCAAACTCTATTTAAAGATGATGCGATCCACGGGGGTGCCTGGGTGGCTCCGTCTGTTGAGCGTCTGACTCTCAGTTCATGATCTCCGCTCAGGTCATGATCTCAATGGTTGTGAGACTGAGCTCCCCGCTGGGTGTGGAGGCTGCTTGGGATTCTCTCTCTCGCTCCCCCTGTGCCCTTCCCCCCCCCCGCCTCAAAAACTGAAAATAAAAAAATAAAGATGATGTGGTCATCTACATAGAAAAGCCAACAAAACCAAGGAAGAAGGAATAAAACCAATAACGGTATCCAGCAGGGTAGAACTTCCAAAACCAAGTATTATCCTCATTAGCAACAACCAAGCAGAAGCTAATATAGAATATCAGACTGTAATGGCAACCCGAACCATGAAAGAGCTAGTCACTAACCTCGCACAGTAAGACCAACAAAGAGAAACTTTGTAAGTTCTGTTAAAGGACATAGAAGAGGTGTGATCAAAGGAGGAAGATTCATCGTGATCAGGGATTGGACAACTTGACATTAAATATAGTTCCCCACGGACCAATTTAAACTCAAAACAATTCTAATTAAAATTAAAGGATGACGTTTTTAGAAAGCCAGCAAAAGAATTCTACACTTTTCGTTGAACGAGATTTGAAAACGAACAGCCAAGTGTAGGGTGAGATCTCTCTCCACCAACCCACGTCGGGCTCTGCACTCCCATCGCAGAGCCTACTTGGGATTCTCTCCCTCTCTCTCTGCCCCTCCCCTGCTCGCTCTCTCTCTGTCTCTTTCAAAATAAATAAACTAAAGAAAGAAGGCCTCTCCTTGAATCAACATCATGAAGAAACAGGCATTAAACTCAATAGGCAAATAGTCAAGATTAGAAAATGACTAGCAA